GTAGAACTAATTATTTGAGGTGGTTAGGAGAGAACAAAAGGATTAATGATAGAGTGTTGAAGAGGCTTGCACGCTTAAAAGTGAATTGATGCTTTCTTTTTATTAATTCATTAACATTATTATTATTTGATATATATATATATATATTGGATATCATCAAATTTAGGGGTGTCAATTTCGGGTCACGGGTCGGATTCGAGTCGAATTTGGAATTGACCAGACGCTATTTGGGTGAACCCGAACCCAACCCGTTTTCGCAAACGGGTCGGTTATCCGGACCTGAACCCGATGTGCTTCTAGTTAAGGTCAACTCGACCCACCCCGTAAGTCTGAAACCTTATTTGATTTTTTGCACGTAGTACAGTTAATCTTATTTCCCTCATGCGGTTAGGTCCTCCAGCAGCAGAAGATAGCAGTGGCCGCAGGCGGGGCAGCGCCAGCAATGCAGGCGGTGACGCGACAATGATGCAGGCGAGGACGCAACAACGGGCAGGCGACGAGACTCGGTGTCGTCTCCCTATGCGATGGCGTGATGTGATGCGATGAGGGCAGGCGGGCAGGCAGGGAAACCAAGGCAGGCAACTCGGGTAGACTTGGGCAAGGGCTGTCACAGCGGGCATATTGGTTTTTTCGGGTTAGTCCCAGTTTCCGGGTTAATCCGAACCCGACCCGGTTTTACAAACGCTTTGTCTGCTGGTTAGGAGCTTTGACTGTCAGTCTAGAGGTATTAGGTTTGAGTATTGCGTATGTGATGTGCGTGTGAGTCATAATTGGCCTAAATCCGTCAATAGGCATAGCCCATATGGCCTTAATAATGATTTGAGCGCACGTCAACTATGAGTAATGCAAGTGCTATCGAGTATACAAATTCGTTGCTCAAGGGTTAGAGTATCTGCTAGCGACAAAAAAAATGGAATTGTAAGGAGTCAGTGATAGATCTTCTAGGCTATATCACCTGAGAGCTGAATACTTGCGCAGCAATAGATAAACACCTATGCGGCTTATCTTGGCCTACTGGTTGTGTGCTTTTGTACGTAGATGTTTACATAAATTTTATAATAAAATTCCGTTAAACAAACAAGCAATTATAGAGACAAATAAACCCCCATAACTACGACATACAACAAACCTTTTTAGTAGCATGGGTAGATTTAGGAAGAGTTCAGGGTGGGTAATTGCCCATTTGAAATCTTTTTTTTTTTTAATTTAGAAAAATAAATATTTTAACTATTTATCTACCTTCAATAAATACATACCTAAATTCTAAGAATTTTTTTTTGTCAATTTCATATATAAAATTATGTATTTCACAAATTTATTTCTCTCTCTCAAAAGAAAGATTAGTTCCGCTTCAGTTTAATAGCAAGGATAAACAAATAGAATTATTTTGAGAAGAAGCGTCCAAAACCCTTATGATTGAGCAGCCTCATTATTTCAGAGTCATATTTTCTCTCTCTCTCTCTCTCTTTCTCTTTGGGATCATTATCATATTTATATGCTTTGATAACATTTATACTTTTTAAAAATTTCAAAAAAAAAAAAAACTAACGAAAGTGAAGATTGAAACTACTAAAACTTAAATCTTAATTAAAAGCTTAAGTTTCCTATCAACAGCTTAAAATTGCCACGTGGCATAACAGTGAAATTTTTGTAAGGTCATAATAAAAAAATGTCCTTAAAAATTAATTAAAAAATATTTATATTGTAGAGATATTTATAATAAATTCAAATTGTTGACCCGATAAGGCCTTCAACTTTTCAAAAATAACAACTAAATCTCAGGAAGACGAGCTTGTGGGTGCACCTCATTGGTAGACATGAATAGATTTTGCCCAGTGGCTCACATTCGAAGCTCCTAACACTAAAAAAAAATTTACACGAAGACTATTCTCCTAACACTAAAAAA